AGACCTATTTATCCCTTATGCATTCGGGGTTGTTCCTGCTGCCATGTCTGATTTCTAATGTTGGAGCCAGACCTCACAATCTAAACTAACACCTGATTGGGTAATAACTTAAAATTTTTCTAAACAGGTAAAAGCAATGGAGAAGTCCAAGTAAGGCAGAAGCAGAGGCTGTGAGCTGGGACACGCCTGTGAGTGTGGCCACCACAGATATCTTGGTTAAAGTACAAGGACATAGAATGTACTATGTGCCTGTGAGCATCTCTAACAGCCACATAGGATAGTGTTTAACAAAGAGTTATTAGCACACTTATGATTTATTCTTTAACAAGAAAGGAACCTTTGAAGAGGAACTTTTATTTCCCACAGCCTATATGGTGGCCCACATCACTGCCTGTGTGGCAGCCTGCATTGTGGCCTGTGTGGTAGCCTTTGTGGTAGCCCATGTCATGGCCTGTGTGGCAGCCTGCACTGTGGCCTTTGTGGCGGTGGCTTTTGTGGCAACCCACGTCACAGCCTATGTGGCAGCCTGCATCATGCCCTGTGTGGTGACCTGAGTTATCGCCTGTGTGGCAGCCTGCACCATGGCCTTTGTGGTGGCCTGAGTCATGGCCGGTGTGGAAGCCTGCGCTGTGGCCTGTGCAGTGGTGGCCTTTGTGGTGGCCCAAGTCATGGCCTATGTGGTGCCCTTTGTAGTAGCCCATGTCATGGCCTGTGTGGCTGCGTGCACTGTGGCCTTTTTAGTGGTGGCCTTTGTGGTAACCCACGTCACAGCCTATGTGGCAGCCTGCATCATGGCCTGTGTGGTGATGGCCTTTGTAGTGGCCCACGTCATGGCCTATGTGGCGGTCTGCACCATGGCCTGTGTGGTGGTGGCCTTTGTGGTGGCCCACATCATGGCCTGTGTGGCAGCCTGCACCATGGCCTTTGTAGTGGCCCATGTCATGGCCTGTGTAGCAGCCTGCACTGTGGCCTATGTGGTGGTGGCCTTTGTGGTGGCCCAAGTCATGGCCTGTGTGGTGGCCTTTGTGGTGGCCCATGTCATGGCCTGTGTGGCAGCCTGCACCATGGCCTGTGTGGTGGTGGCCTTTGTGGTGGCCCAAGTCATGGCCTGTGTGGTGGCCTTTGTGGTGGCCCATGTCATGGCCTGTGTGGCAGCCTGCACCATGGCCTGTGTGGTGGTGGCCTTTGTGGTGGCCCAAGTCATGGCCTGTGTGGTGGCCTTTGTGGTGGCCCATGTCATGGCCTGTGTAGCAGCCTGCATCGTGGCCTGTGTTGTGGCATGTGCTCACATTGCAGGAAAAGCCTCTGGCCATTTGGAGCCAGTGAGTGACAAGGTCCACCTACTGCCTTGAGTCCACCGTGTGCTGGAGGCGAGCAGTGCTGGAGGTCCTGTCCTGGGTGGTCCTGACCTGGGTGGTCCTGTCCTGGGAAGTCCTGTCCTGGGTGACAGGACCAGGGATGCTGGAGGCCTAAAGACCCACTGCAGTCCTCCGAGCCAGATGGCGGCCTGGACCCCATGACTGTAGCCTTGAAGGTACCCACAGGAGGATCCTGGAGGTTTGGGGAAAGTTGCTGGGCAGAAGGGTGCCATGGCGCGAGGGGAGGAATCAGTGACCGGGGGAGGTTGAGCTGGAGGAGGGACTCAGGTCAGCTCTGGTGGCTGCAGAGCGTGGGATGCACAGGACACAGTGTGAGGTGTCTGCTGGCCGCCAGGTCTGGGCATGCGGCTCCTGAGGTGGCAGGTGCTGGAGGTCATCTGGCTGAACGTGGTGCTTATGCCCATGGGAAGTGAGGTGACCACCCAAAGAGGGGTGTGGACAGGAGAGGCCAGCAGCCTCTGAGGTCCCCTGGGGACCCAAGGGCAGGAGGACAGTGGCCAGCTGTAGCCGACGATGCCAAGGGAGGGAGTGGGGCTGAGGCCAGGGCCAGCCTGATGTCAGAGGCAGAACCTGGGCACAGCCTTGGAAACCTGCCTCTTCGGTAAACGTGGAGAAGCCATGCAGCGGGAGTGCTGCTCCTGGGCGGAGGGGCCTTAGCGGGGGCAGCCAAGTGGATTCCAGGTGTTGCTCAGCAGAGAGCCTCTGGCTGGGCCCTCCTGAGCCCTCGTTTTCTGTAGGGGCTGGCGAGTTGCGTGGCATTTCTGGTCCAGCATCAGGCAGGGGCCAGGCCGGCTACACCTCCGGCCCTTGGCAGGGGGTAACTGACCTGGCTTCCCTGTGAGGGTCCCATGTAAACAGTGGACTGAGGGGCAAGGGGGACCCAGAAGTCAGCCTCCAGCTGAGGGCAGTGCCAGTGACTCGGTGGGAGACGCTGGAGCCGGGTGTGGGGAGCCTTGGGGGCCCAGGCACAGATATATTTTGAAGGCAGTCGACATCAGCCTTGTTATTGCAGCTGCAGAAATTGTGGGGGTACAGGATATGGGACCGGGGCAACTGGAGGCCAACCCCCAATTTTCAGCTTGAGCACCTGGGGGGTGTGGTATCGACCTCAGAGAAGGCGGTCACAGCCAGCACCAGGGCCGCCGGCTCAGCCTGCAGCCCCGACTCTGGGAGTGCACGGCAGAAGTGGACCTAAATTTCTCGTGGCCAGGGCATTCCCCCGACGGGTACACGGCAGAGGTGGACGTCCATCTCTTGTGGCCAGGGAGTCTCCTCCCCATGTGGCAGCAGAAACGCCCTCTGCAGGCCCCCGCCAGGCAGTAAGAGCCTGAGGGAGGGAGAGGTGAGATCCAGAAGAAAGCGACCCGGCGTGGGCCCCCAGATCCAGAGGCGCTGGGATGCAGAGGGCTCCTCCCAGGCCAGGGCTGGGGACACTGCTCCCCTGCTGCTTTTCACCATTTCTTGTTCCTCCTGCAACAAAAGGCATCTTGGCCAACCCAGAGGGCCTCCTCTTCACTGTCAGACAGGGGCCACACAGAGGGAGCTTCTGTCTGCCTGTCCGGGGGACCCCACGTGTCCCACCCACGTGAGCTCAAGGAACCCGGCTTTACGGACGCCCTGATGTCCTCTGTCCTCTTCCTGCTGAGCCGAAGGCCGTCTGTGCTGCCAGGAAAGCTGCCTTTACCTAACTGAGCCCAGATTCTCATCAGCCGGGCAATCACGACAGAGCCATTCCTCTGAGGGGAGTGAGGATGTCGTGGGACCTGCCTGAGGGTGTCTGGCACCGGCCACCATGATCACCGTGCAAAGGAGACTCTTCAAACGGCTCATCCGGAAGCCCCAAGCCTCAGAGCTGCAGACGCCCTCCAGGCTGCTTATTTGCACACCAGGAATACCTGCTGGGCTTCTGCAACACATTTTCCAACCTCCCACCCTGCTCCGTGGAGAACCGAAGCCCTCGCCACCGTGGGAGTCACCTGTCCTGGGGGCTCACAATCTGGGCCCACTCTTGAGCAGTCACCTTGCCGAGGGTGAGGGTGTCGCATGGTTAAGAGCCGGAGCTGGCGTCCTTATTGTCCAGGGGTGTCGATAAAAGACGTGGTCCAGGTTAGCTCCAGTGCAGTCCACGCAGAAACCATCGGCACGTCAAGAAATGGAAATGACTCTGTCAGCAGCCAGTTCCCGGCCGTCGCCCTGGGCGTCAGGAACGCCGGGCCAGCAAAAGCTGCTGGGCGGAGGACGTCCGTTAAAGAGTGTCCTTGCAGAAGGGACGATTTTCTCTCTATAAAGCGCCATAATGATTACATTAAGACACCTCCGAGAGAGATAATTCTCCCACCTGTAATTTGGAATTAATTCTGAGGCTGACTCTCCCTGGTGTCCCTGTCGCTCCCTGGAGAAGTCGGGCTCTGGGGAAGAGACATTAATGCCTCCAGCCCTAAGGCCCTCTCCAGTGCCCCTCCACTCACTCAGAGCCCCAGAGAGGGTCTGGCCCCAGGGCCCCACATGAAGGTCCTGCCTCCTGGGATCTGGCCTCAAATGAATCCGAGCCCAAACAGACCCTCCTGCGTACCCCTCAGCAGGCCCTGGTTCCTCCTTCCATCTTGGGACTGGGCCTCTTCCGTTTTTTGATGGCATCATTGCCCAGTGAGGACACTCATTTGTGGCCCTAAAGCCACCACTCCAGCCTGTGCCTCCTGCTCAGAATTCCCCCCGTGCATGCGGCTCCAACGCCGACCTCCTGCCCTCAGCACATCAGTGGCCTCCTCCTGGAACCTCCTCCCAGTGCTGGGTGGTACCCTCAGGCAGGGGTATCCGGAGAGCCCCGAGCGCCCCTGGGAACGTGGCTCTGCTGTGTGTGGAGGGCTGCTCCGAACTTCTCTCCTTCAGGCTCAGCCACTGACCGTCCTTGTAAGAGAGACAGCGGGGGGACCCTGCAGCTGCAGCTCCATCTGCTCATGGGGAGAGCAGAGGGAAGCCACCACATCTCACACGCGGGACCCTGCGAGGGGGTCTGAAGGAACCAGGATGGGCAGGGTTCTGCAGGGGTCCCACTGAGGAATGCACAAGCTGAGCCCCCCACACCCTCCTCCGATGCTGAAGGACTTAGGGTCTCTGGGGGCTGTGGAGCAGCTGGTAGCTGCCCCTGATTCCAACCCTCCAGGCTGTGGAGGGAGGGGTCTGATGCCAGGCCTGGCTGGAGGTCCCACTGGAGCAGAACAATCGTCCTCCTCATGCTGTGCTCACGGACGGCATGTGGCTGTGCCGCTGCACACCGGCCAATCCGGCCTGGTCCCCACCGCGGCCCTACCTGAGAAGCAGGTGACTCGGCTGGCAGGGGCTGCTGATGGGAGACCCTTCCCACCGCAAAGCACTGGCCTCCCAGGCACTGGGGGGGACTCAGAACCGGACAGGGGCATCACGGAGCTGTGAACTCCGAGGACCCCCACCTCCACCCTCCAGCCAGAGGGAGCACCCAGGATGGACAGGCCCTGCCCCCCGACCTGCTCCCAGTGAATCGGCCTCATGCCTGGCCACAGCCACAGCTCAGCGCAGCCACGGGGGGCTCCGTCCGTGTCCGCCCCGAGCGTCACAGGGCCCTTCTTCGTTCTGTCTCCGCAGCCACGGGGTGCGCGCCCTGTCGTCCCGGGGCCCGTCAGCGAGTGCAGCAGGGCCACGCCACGTTCACGGATGTCCTCCTGGGGCCGCCCCCGTCCGGGTACCACCCCTTCCTGTTCCTGGACAGCCTCCGCAAGGTGGGTGCCCACGGTGGGGGGCAGGGAGGTCACCCCACATCACTCAGCCAGTCCCTACCCGCTCACCGCTTCAACACCCAGGCACCTGCTCCCGGGGGGTTGGAGCAGAGCCCTGGGCTCCCTTCTGAGCCTTCCCTCTCCCTCCTGCCCAACCCTTCTAGAAGGCAGGCAGCAGATCCAGAGGCGGCCCGCACCCGGGGGCAGCACCGCCCACCGCACCGGAGCCGCCGGGAGGCAGCAGGTAGGGGCTGCCCACCCTGGGTGTTGGAGGGTGAGCTCTGGCCTCCTCAGCAGCTGGGCCAGGAGGATGCGGAAGGCCTCGGGGAGCCGAGGGCTGGTCCAGGAAAGCAATGAGCCCACACGGCGTCAGTTCAGGGAGCCCCCGCCAGGGTCCCGCGGGCCAACAGCTGCCCTGCCCCTCGCCTGGGCCGGGCCGGCAGAGAGTGGGTGGAGCTGGAGCCGGTCCATCTGCTTCCATCACCACAGCCCCAGACGGCCGGTGGACCAGGCTGCGGACTCCCAGAGGCAGAGAGGCGGGAGGGGCTGGGGGGCTCCCAGAGGAAGGCGGCTGGTGACCGGGGTTTGGGTCCTAAGGGGACTCTGAGCTCGAGAACAGGAGCGGGCCCACGTGCACCCAGCAGCACGGGCGGGTGGGAACACCATGGTGGCTTCGCAGCAGGCACATTTCGCCATCCTGAGCCTGGCAGGGCCACAGGCACAGCACATGCAGGGTCACAACCAGCTGCTTCTGCCGGGGAGGAAGCCGGGGCCCGGCGCCACCAGCATCGCCCACGCCAGGTCGGGGTTCTCTCTACACCTTGGAGGGGGCTGCTCACTGAGCTGTGGAGGCGAGGAGGCCCCGCTGATGTGCCCTGGGGGCCTGTCCCTCCTGCCTGAGCCAGAGGACACAGTGGCTTCTCCCACCAACCCTCACGTGGCCCCGCAGTCTGTGGAGGAGCCGGTAGGTTCCCTGCAGTGACCAGCACCCCGCTACCTGCCAGGCCCCCTGTCTCGTTTCCTTGGGTGGAACCTGTGACTTCTGGGATTCCCGATTGGAGCAAAACATTGTGGTGACTCAGTGCACAGACCCTGTGAGAAAAATCACCTGCTCTTGAGAGACATGAACCCACCTGGGACAGGGTGGGTACTGGGGGCCTTGGACAAGGCAGGTGGGTGGAGAACGAGAGCCCTGTGGTGGCCAGAGAAGGGCTTCAGGAACAGAGGAGGCTCCGGGCGTCCCCAGCGCCCCCCTGGGACCAACAGGAGGTCTGGTGCCCTCAAGATGTCCTCTGCCTCCGCCCATCCACCAAACAGAAGCGGGTGTGTATGTGTGTGTGTATTAGTGGTGAGTGTGTGTGTGTGTGATTGTATGAGTGATTGTGAATGTGTGTGATTGTGAGTGGTGAGTGTGGTGTGTGTGATTGTGAATGTGTGTGATTGTGTGAGTGATTGTGTGGTTGTGATTGTGAATGCATGTGAATGTGAGTGTGATTGTGTGTATGAGTGTGTGATTGTGATTGTGAGTGTGATTGTGAGTGTGATTGTGAGTGTGATTGTATGTGTGTCTGATTGTGAGTGTGAATGTGTGTGATTGTGAATGTGTGTATGTGCATGTGAGTGTGTGTATGAGTGTGTGTGATTGTGATTGTGAGTGTGTGTGCCAGGCCGCCTCTGCTTCTGGAAGTGGCCAAGGCCCAGAGCACAGACCTGGGGCACAAGCTCCAGGGAAGAGGTCCGGCGGCGGGGAGGAGGGTCTACTGCTGCCCCCCGCAGTGAGACGACTGTGGGGGACGCTCAGGGGCTGCTGAGGCGCTGGCACTGGCCTAAAATGCCCCTTGCTTGGCGGTGCTGGGACGGGAGCGTTTCCAGGGGCGGCGCCACCCTCTGTCCGGCTCTGAGTCATGGTTTGTGAATTAAATATGAAGCTCACTTTGTACAATAACGTGAGAAGCGGGACTAAAAAACAGCCAAGATCCTGCAGGCTCAGGGGCCCCGTTTGCCCAGCTCCTCGGTCTCAGGAGCGTCTGCGAGAGCCAGAAGCCCAGACGCTCCGAGAGTCACCCCCACAGACGCACAGACCCAGCGCCCAGCGTGGCACGTCCGCTTCAGTCACTGTGGCAACCTCAGAGCTGAGGTTGATGCTGAAACGTCTAATTTCAGCAAAAAGCAGGCTTTCGCTGTCTTCTGCCTGAGAGGTGGAGCCGCGTCTCATCCCAGCCCGGGCGGCGCCCACAGACAGCTCTCACTGCCGTCGGGTTAAGTGTCACTGGACTAGGACAGTCCCAGTCCCAGGAGGGAGTTTCCCATGCCGAAACGACGCCGACTCCTCTGGGGACACATTTGTGATCAGCGGCCGCTTCCCCTGCCTCCGTCAGCGCCGCGGCCACACCGCCAGGGCCCTCCCGTCCCGCTGGGCGGACAGCCCAAAAGGAGACCTGCCCCGGCCAGGGAGCCCCGGCCCTCTGTGCAGCTGGGCTTGCGTTTTCTGGGTACGGAAACCCTGGGGGCTCTTCCCCATTGTGAACTCTCCACAAGCTCTGCCTGCTCCTGGGGTAAGGACCCAGCGTGGGGTGAAGGGCCACATGTTTTCAGGCCTCTCGGCCATGGGCCCTGGAGCAGCAGCAGCTTAGCGACGAACCTGGGCTCTGCCTCTGGCCCTCCCCAGAGCCTGGTTCCCCTGGCCCCACCACGGGGTCCTCGCCGCCACGGGTCCCTCACAGCCCTCACACCCCTCTGCCCCTACCCAGGGGCTCCCCAGAGGCTCTGTGGTCTCCCACGCTCCCCTCCCTCCGGTCCCGCGCCCAGCCTCCCGCGGCAGCGTCCAGACCCGCCTGGGCCCGAAGACCTCAGTGTCCTCCGACGGCCACTCTTTCCAGCAGCCGACCGGCCCGGGCCAGTGCAGAGCCCTGGAGCACTCCGTCGGCCGCGTCTGGTTTGCGTTTAAGGAACCCTCTCCGCTCGGTGGCGGTCGCGCCAGGCAGGGTCCCGGGGAGGGCTCGTGCGCGCCACAGGGCCGGGCAGCGCTGGAGGAGGGAAAGCTCCCGCCACCCTCCGAAAGCGTCAGAAGGTGCTTGTGACAGGGGCGGAGGAGGGCACGGGCCGGCTCTCAGCGCAGCCTCAGGCTCCAGCCGCCGAAGCGGCGCCTTGAGCTGGGAACACCCAGGAGACCCCTCAGACCCGAGACCCCCTGGGCTGCCTGCACGGGGTGGCTCTGCGACCCACTCTGTTCTGCCCGAGCCTCAGCCCCTGCCCTGGAACAAAACAGTCCTGTCCCAGAGTCTCCAGGGCCCTGGCCACTCAGCTGTCACTCACTCAACAGCTGTCCCCAGTTCTGTCACTGGGGACCCCCTTTCCAGAATGGGGAGGAGACCTCAGGATCTGGGCCCGGGCTGATCCGGCTGCTGGGTCCCAGCTGGTATCTCCGCTGCTGGGCACACAGGATGTGGGGCCTGTCCCCAGCCCTGCCAGATGTGCCCACTGGCCAGCATAATTATGTGCCAGGAGCATCTCCAGGCCAAAGCCCGCCGCTCACTGAACTTCCTGCCTGGAATGTTCTGGAACCCCCAGTCCTGCCCACACTCAACACATGACTGCCTTCTCCTTCCCAAGGACCCCAACGTTGCCTGCTTCCCGGGTTCTGCTCCTTTCTTTGCAGTCCCACCCTCCGGTTCCAGACGCAGCCCCTTCGGGGGACCTCTGGGGGTCGGCTGGAGGTCGGCTGAGTGAAGTCACCAGGATAGTCATCCTGGTGCGCAGCACCCACGGAGGACACGGAGCCCAGCCCCAGCCCCAGCCCCCGACAGAGCTTGGCCCACCAAGGCACAGCCTGGGAGCCCGTCTGAGAGCCCAAGTCCCTGGCTGCAACTCCTCACCGCATCTCCCCACAAAACCCCAAAGCCTCGCTCCCTCATGGAGGTTTTCACCCCATCCCAGGACTCCGACGGGAGCTAACACAGGGGTCTCCGGGCTGTTCCAAACCTGGGGCCACACACGAGACTACGGTGTGGACAACAAGAGACTGAGTGAGACGGGAGCCCAGAAACCACGTCGCGCCCTCCGAGTGAGATGGGAGCGTGGCCCCTTCCACGTCCAGATGCCACATTGTGCCCTCCTGGCCTCCAACCCCGGCCTGTGCCGAAGGCTACACGCCCCTCACAGCGCCGCCAAGTCCCGTAGAAGCCAAGTCCCGGCGGCCTGCGTGGGGCCAGTGTCAGACACAGAGCTGCCAGGCGATCCGGCCTCTGGGGTTACGCACCGGGGGACAATGGGAGAAGCAGCGAGTCCAGGCCCAGGTTCCTCATCCACCAGAAGGAACCTGTCCCCAAAACGGCCACACCTGTGCCCCCTTCCCACGGCTGCACCTCAGGAGCTCCTGCCAGCATCCACTGGGGGATGCTGGTGCCCTGGAGAGGACAGGCATCCCCGCTGGGCACCCGGTGAGCCCTGGGTCACCCCACGGGACGCCCCCCTGGCACATCCCCCACCTGGTGGCCCCTCAAAGCCCACATCAGAGCCTGTCACTGTCATCCAGGAGGCTCCAAACAATAGAAGTGATGAAAAAAAAACTGACAAAGATGCAGAGTGTCACGCCACCCTGTAATTTCGGGAGAGGCGCAGCAGCGGGTTTTAATTTACATAAGCAGCATGGCGCCCGCTGGAGAAGCCAGCGCCTTTGTCCCGACTCAGGCAGGATTCTGCAAGGTCTTCTCTGACTGATCCCTAAAATAGGCAGAGAAAAGAGGGGCAAAGTTTCCTTCACAAGCCGTGCCTCAAGGTGAGCACAGGTTTTGTGGGCACAGAGGCCTTGTCTGCCCTCCCAGAGCCCAGCCGGGGCCACAGGACCCCTCAGGCACATTCTGACCCTGCAAAGCCCACCAGAACCTGGTCACCCGGATGCAGAACAGCCAGAACAGGGGTCGGGCCGCGAGGGTCCTGCAGGTGCAGCCAGAGGCTGAGGCCCGGCCCCTGCCTGCACGGCCACCCCAACCGCCCCAGCACCTCCAAGAATGTCAGAGAGCCCCACCTCTGCGGCCACGTGGGGCAGAATCCAGACCTGGAGGGCCACGGTTGAACCATGCTGCCTCTGGCAGGATGGCAGGGAGAGGCACCGGCCAGGGTCCCGCCTGGCTGGGGGAGGGTGTGCAAGGGGCTCTTGGCTCGCCTCCGAATCTGGCTCCCAAATCACTGCCTCACCACACACCCCATGTCCACCTGGGGCCGAACCCCAGCTTGTGGGTGGGG